AAGTGGATGGACTAAAACAAGAAAAAGGAGTCTTCTGGACTGTGGCACTTAATATTATGGGACGCCTTCGCCTTCTGTTTGCTTCCTGGTGTCTTTCAGAACTAAGCATTGCTCTTGTTCTAAGTTCTTCCATGCCCTTAGCTGACAGACGAGCAGGCTCAGTCTCATTGTAGGGTTTTTGGTTTTCTTCTTCCTTTTCAATTTTTCAGTGAGTTTTATTAGTAGTTTCACCATGGTTCAGGGCCCCCTTCACTACTCAGATATAGTGACAGGGGACAGAGGAGGAGCAGGGTAGAGCCAGGTCAGCTCTTCCCAGGAAGTGCATCTCCTGCTTGGAAGTCCTCCCAGGCCGAGACCCAGGATGTGGCATGTCCACGTGCAGCTGCCCCTTTTGTGGTTGTTGGCTTCCTAACAGCAGGCCAAGTCCAGGCGGTTCTGCCAGCAGTTCCTGGTCTGGTTCCGACTTGGGAAGGGGCTGTCAAGAGGGGCAGCCTTGTGGTTCTTACTTCTCTGCTCCCTCTTTCGTTTTTGGACAGGCTTTCTCTGTGTAGCTCTGGCTGTCCTGGAACTCACTCTGTAGACCTGGCTGGCCTCAAACTCACAGAGATCCGCCTGCTTCTGCTTCCCAAGTACTAGGAGCAAAGGCATGCGCCACCTCAGTCACAGTGCTAACTCCTAAAGCTGCCCAGGAAGAGCTCAGTGCAGCCTTAGCAAAGATGGTGATGTTGGACAGGATGCTTCACTTGAAACGTTAATGCTAAGTGAGATTGCTGTTGATGGCTGCATTCTGTGCCGCACAACACAATGCTGTGGTTTGCTGTGCTGGGGCTGGAACCCAGGACCTCACCCATGCTAGGCAAGAGCTTTGCCACAGAGCTTCACCTCCAGATCCTTATAATATGTATTTTATAAATTTAGCTGTTTTCTAAGCCTCTCATACCAGTTAAAATAGAAGTAATACGTAAATGCTTTGGAAACATTAAGCAGTGTTTTTAAAATGAAAATATTTTGAATTTCTAAGTTTGTAGCTGTGCGTTCTTGCGGTTATATAATGCTTCTCTTTTGTAAATGTGGAGAATTCCAAGTAAGTGGAGGCTGTTTGTCATCTGGCTTCACTTCAGTTATTCAGTTACAACAAACTACCAGAAACTTTCAAGAATCTGTGTTCCATTTTTAAAGAAGAAAGTCCCTAGGAGTTTAAAATAGTTTCGTTTACCATTCTACTGAACAAAATTGTTTTCACAAAAAGCTAACTTGTTTTCTGTCCAAAGAAATTGAGAGATTCAAGTTTAGAATCTGCCTATATAAAGTTTAGATTTCTAAACTAAAGACTGTAATTCTCTGTAATTTTATATTTAAAGGAAGAATGAATGAGGGTTCCTAATGTCCAACCTTTGTAAGTGTTTTCAAATGATTTACTGTGAAAAGGAAGTTACTTTAAAAAAAGATTAGTTATTTTTATTTTACATGTGTATGTGCTTTGCCTGCATCTATGTATGTGTACTACATGCATGCCTGGTGCCCATGGAGGTCAGAAGTAACCTCCTGAAACTGGAGTTACAGACAATTGTAAATTGTACAGCTATAATTGTGAGCTACCATGAGTGTGCTGAGGATCAAACCCAGGTTCTCTGCAAGAGCAGCAAGTGCTCTCAACCACTGGGCCGTCTCTCCAGTCCTGTCCTCCTCCACACACACACTTCTTTTTGTTGTTGTTGTTGTTACTTTAGACACATGCCTGTCTCTATCCTATCCTCTATCCTATTTCATCCTATGAGTTGGGCTGTTAGAGGATACAGTGGAATCTTGAAAGAAAAAAATTGAGTCATTTTTCAAACTATGTATTCTTCTAGTCCCTCCAAAGTTATGAATCTTGAAAGGAGGATATAATTTTGGGAGGGAGAAGGCCCAGGTGATTGCAGTAAACCTATTTCAGCCCTTCTTCAAAAGCACATTAGAGAATTATTAGTGTTAGTAGAAAATCCAGTTGTTGGGGCTGGAGAGCTCAGAGAGAAGGACCCAACAGGAGTACCAGGAAGTTGGTCAACAGTGACACAGGGACGAAGCAGAGGAGGACCTAAGCAGGAACTAGAGGATCATGGGAACAGGCACCTGATTTTAAGGGCTATAGAATAATGGAAGTTATACTCTGTAATATAGACTAAATGGAAAGGTGAGTAAGGAGAAGAGCAGATGTGAACTTTTTGATGTAGTTCAGGAGTAAATAAATAGATACAAGAGACTGAAGATTGTAGCTAGGATACTTTTTTTCTTCCCTTTGGAAGAAATGTGAGCATTTTTGTGAGCTGAGATGTGGGAAACAGTTCTTAGCACAATATAGAAAATCCTTCGTGGTCTGTCTCCTGTCCCATGTCTACTCCTCCAGCGTTTTGTCTTGTTGCTCACCCCTCAAGATGCTCCTTAGCCAGGCTGAACCTCCTTGCTCCTTGCTATGGCCTCAGTCATGCGTGTATCGTCCTGTTTGGGTTTCTCACACTGACCGTGCTGGTCAGTCCATAACCCGTTTCTAAAAGGGTGATCCAGGACCAGCAGAATTGGCATCATCTGGAGCCTTGTTAGAAGTGTGGGATTTGAGGCCCCTCCCCAGACCTGTTGAGGCAAAAGCCCCATTTTAGTAAAAATCTCCAAGAGTTGTAGCCTCTGCTAATTGTAAACACACTGTTTAGTAATTATCTAATGAGATAGTTGATGGTCTGGCAGGATATGGAAGAATTCATCATAGGTGGGACTTTACTTCAAAGTACATTTAGGACCTTTGGTACTTCCTCTGTGGAGGACCACTGGTTGTGTTACAGGTCGTGGAAGGAAGTGTGGATTTTATTCCCATTGCAGTTATAAACACTAGAGGGTTTTGGATGGATGAAAGACAGGGAAAACATAATCCATGGCTTCTGACTAGACCGTGGATTTCCAGGAGAGAAAACAATGTGAAAAGTGTATCCAGTGGAGTTAAGTTTTTGGGGGCAAAACAAGACAATCACAGATGCAGATGTGGAGCCAGGTGTCGAGGCACATATCTGTACTTCCACTTGACAGGCCAAGGCAGGAAGATTATGAGTTGGAGACCAACCTGGGTTACAGAATGGAACTCTGCCTCAAAAAATCAAACAAATAGCAACAAAAATCCCCAAATAAAAAAAGGTGTACACGGTAGAATTAATCTTTTTTAAAAACTGGAAGAAATGTTCTAAGTAAATACAGAAGCATGTGTGGTGGTGGTGGTGGTGGTGGTGGAAATATAACTTTTAGGTACATTCTGGCTCACTTTAGATGGCCCTGATCTTCTCAGTAAAGCAAATCGTGTGGTGTTGTTCTTCTTGGAGCCAATTTGGGTAGAATGTTGAGAGCGGAAGAGACTCCGGGTAACTGTTACAAACATAACCAAGGAATAGGCAAGAGAGGAAGGAACGTTTAATAACAACACCAAGGGCGGGGGGGGGGGGGGGGGGGGGGGCGGGGGGGGGGGGGGGGGGGGGGGGGTGTGGCTCAGTGGTAGAGCACCACCTAGTATGCGCAAAGCCCCGGGCTCTGTCCCCAGCACTGATGTATGTATATCGTGGTGTCAGTCAGCTTTGCTGTATGGACTTATGCTTTACCTGGTCAAAAAGAAAGAAAAGGAAAACCAAAAGAAAGGAGGGTTGTCAAGATTGGCATATTGGTGTGGTCAGAGAATGAGACAATGTTCTGGTGAGACCATGGCCACAGCGGCTGATGATGGATGCCATAGAGCAGAAAAAGCAGGTGAAATCAGGAAGAATCCAAGGACCGAGAGCACAGGAGAGGGCCAGGGAGGCGGTGGAGGACAGAAGGAGGACAGAGATGTTCCATGCTGCAGAGGTGGGCAGCAAGCGGTGGTGACAGGAAGCCTTTTCCGAGTTTCAGATGTTAGGGTGCAATTCAGGCTGACTCCTGCTTATAAATAGTGGAGCTGTAATGAGCGTCCAGACGGATCCCTGGAGGGAGGCAGTTAGCAGACTCAGAACCTGAGAGCACCACTGTACGGATCATGAAAGAACAGATCCCCATGAGGAAAGTTTCGTCTTTTGTTTATTATTTGTGGTTTCATTGCACTTCCCTCTGGAGCCTCCTCATAGAGAACACAGACCCCTAGAGGTCAAGTGCTTTGTCCTTCCTTGACACTCTCCCAGCATCAGAATAGCACCTGGCCCTAAGAGATCCATCAATATTGTTAGATATGTAAGCAAACTACAGCTAGCATTTATTTCTTAAGCACCCATGAGAAATATGCAAAGTGCTCCCTACACACTCTCTGGATTCTGCATGGAAAGAATTAACCCCCAGATCACAAAGTACGATTCTGGAGTGGAGAGACAGCATCGCATGGCAGACTGCCTGGCTTTAAATCCAGCTCTGTCACTCCCAAGCTAAGTAATAACATTTATAATAACACCTCTGATGAGTTGTCAGGACAAATGAGTTTGTATCTAATGCTTATTAAAATGACCTGACATACAGTAATAACAATATAAGTATGTGTTTAATCAAAGTGATCATGTTACATCATCATACATGGCATTGGTATGCTATTTTTTTTTTGGTTTTATGTGACAGGGTTTCTCTGTGTAGTTTTGGTGCCTGTCCCAGATCTCTCTGTGTAGACCAGGCTGGCCTCGAACTCACAGAGATCCACCTGGCTCTGCCTCTCAGTGCAGGGAAAACACATAGTATTAACCAGTGCATTGTTATAAGTATTAAAAGTTAGATATGTTCAGTATGGGAAAAACATACCAATAGAAAAAATATTCTTTTTATGCTTTAGTTCATTAAGTAGATTACCTACCCAGTTATCATTGTCATTTACTCATATTGAGAATTTATGGTTAGTTTATAGTTGTATGTATGATTACTACATTGAAGTACAACCTGCCTCATTTGTACACATTCCTATTCATTGTCATATGTAAAGTCAATAATAATAGACTACTAAATTTTTAATGACCATTCTTACTTTATTTTAGATTTTATGTTTACAATAAAAAGAAACGTCTTGTCAACACACCTTATGTGGATAACTCCTATAAATGGGCTGGTGGTGGATTTCTGTCCACAGTGGGTGACCTTCTGAAGTTTGGGAACGCAATGCTGTATGGTTACCAAGTCGGGCTGTTTAAGAATTCAAATGAAAATCTCTTACCTGGATATCTCAAGCCAGAAACGATGGTGATGATGTGGACCCCAGTCCCTAACACGGAGATGTCCTGGGATAAAGAGGGCAAATATGCCATGGCGTGGGGCATTGTAGAGAAGAAGCAGACATATGGTTCCTGCAGGAAGCAGAGGCACTACGCTTCCCATACTGGAGGCGCAGTGGGCGCCAGTAGTGTCCTGCTGGTCCTGCCTGAAGAACTGGACCCAGAGGCCATAAATAACAAGGTTCCCCCACGAGGAATAATCGTCTCTATCATATGCAACATGCAGTCCGTTGGCCTCAATAGCACTGCTTTGAAGATTGCCCTAGAATTTGATAAAGACAGGGCCGACTAATCCTAAGTGGCACAGGTCCACAGTGAGCTTTCCGTTCTTTGAAATGTTGACGTTCCAAAATACATACAATTTTAAGAATACATTTGTAATAGAGTACAGTTAAATGTGGAGAATTATGTACCTCTAATTGCTTAATTTTGTAACTGCCTTTTTATTGTACAATTAGTTCTTTACACTCAGGGAAATAACAGTTATTTCTACTTTTTGAAAAAAAAGTGTTAACTCTTGAAATAAAATATTCTGATAAAAGACAGTACTTTTTAGTTTTTAGGGTTTTTATTTTTACTTTCTTTACTATCTTGCTGTGTAGCATATACTGGCTTTGAACTTTAATCTTTCTGCTTTACCTCCCCAGTCCCTGGCTTATAGGCATGAGCCACTACACTTGTCTAAAATATATATTATTTGAATGTGTAATAGAGAAAGCCTCATGTAATAGAAGACCTTTTAATGTAACAGTGAAAACACATTCATATATATATATATATATATTCCTCCCATCATTCCTGAGGCCCTGGAATTGAGTAATGCAGTTGGGCTGGTCCGGGACAGAGTCTAAAGAGGTTGCCAATAAGGTGTGGTAGTTGTCCCTGGGACTGGAGGAAAGTTTCCAAGATGGCCTGCAGTCGATTCTGTGGCTGATGTGGCAAGAGGCCTGTTTGTCAACATGGACCTCCCAATGGGGCTGCCTGGCTACTTATGTCATGGTTGTGGGCTTAAGAGCAAGTTAAGGAGAGAGGAAGAGAGGATGAGAGAGTGGGTGGAAATATAACACAGCAGGAACAATGCATTGTACGTTACAAGACAGTCAGAATTCACTGTATCGGTAAGTTTACACCACCGTGAGCAGATACCTGTCAGAAACAACGGGGGAAATGAAGATGTATTTTCAGAGTTGCTGTCTATCATGTCAAGGAAGGCATGGTGACAGAATAGGTTGTACAGAAGAGACAGCCCTCTACCATCACTTGTGGCAAATTCTATTGGTCCAAGAATCACAGGTGGACCCTGATCCATTGTAGGAGTGGACTGCACACAGGGAGGAATACTGAGAATCATGAGGAGCCATCTGAAGGTAGGCTCCCCAGATAGCTTACTAGAGTGTTGACTTTGGAATATTTTGTTGTAATAGTCCCAGATGGTATATGTTGGAGATTACCCGTGTGCCAACAGAGACAGGAAGACACAAGAAAGATGTCCGAGTTTTTATGTATTTTATGAAAGAATTTTTCTGTATTTCTCAGCCCTACATCTGTTTCTTCACTTTCTTCTTTATAACAGTAAATCAATCCTGTATAATAAAGCAACCTCTGGAGGCATCACCATCCCTGATCTCAAGCACTACTATAGAGCTATAGTAATAAAAACAGCTTGGTGCTGGCATAAAAACCAACATACAGACCAATGGAATCAAATTGAAGACCCAGACATTAATCCACACACATATGAACACCTGATTTTTGACAAAGAAGCCCAAACTATACAATGGAAAAAAGAAAGTATCTTCAACAAATGGTGCTGGCATAACTGGATGTCAATATGTAAAGATTACAAATAGATCCATATCTGTCACCATGCACAAAACTCAAGTACTATTGCTTTCTATCACATTTATACAAATATACTACACATTTTCTACCTTCTTCAAAATTCAAGACTGTTATTTAACCTGGTCAAGTTTATATAAATCCATTTTGTTGAAACTGCTATCAACTATCAAATTGTGACATTAAATTACAAATTACACTATCCACTATCTTTTTTATGGGGGGCAGTATTTTGAGACAGGGTTTCTGGGACTTGCTCTGTAGACCACCACCGCCCGGCTGCCCCATCTAATATCTTAATAGATGCTTTTTACCATTAGAGGTAACATTGTGGGTTGAACCATATGACATTCTGTACTTATATCAAAAAAGAAACCACTTGAATATAGTTTTACATAAGCCTTGTTTATATGCCTTTATTTTTTCAGCATCTGATGGTACAATTGTTTTTATTTGCTTTTACCTAATATTTAGGAAGTTAGAGATTATTTTCACATGTCCTTTGATCTTTTGAATTTTCTCCAATTTCCCACATACAGTCTGCTTACTTAGACCAGGAAAAATAAAAGTATTTAAGAACTGAACAGGCGTGAAAGCACATGCCTTAAATGCTAGCACTTGGTTGGGGAGGCAGAGGCAGGCAGATCTTTTTGAATCTGACGTCTGCCTGGTCTACTTAGTGAGTTCCAGGACGGCCAGGACTACATAGACTGTCTCAAACAGACAAAAAGCAGATTATGGACATGTTCACAGGATAGGGAATAAGTAACTGATGGAATCTAAAATTCTTCTGTGGTATTGAATTAATAGTCACCATTTCCTCCCATTCTCTTCTGGTGTGATGTTGCCAGTCTCCATCATAGGTAGTTGTTTCTCCACCCTCCTGCTCCTGGCCTGCCGAATGTGCTGAGAACACTGTATGAAGTCCTGCTCTTAAGCTTTAAGGGACTGTCAAGCTTACCTTTACTGCCTGAGGCCCACTGCCCCACTTACTCACTGAGGACACTCAGGCTTACTGACGAACCAAGATGTCTGTCCCACACACCAGCTCGCACCAGTCGTGAGGCATGACTGAAACCATGCTGAATCCAGCTCAGCTTCACTCCCAGCTGACGCTGTGTAAGTCAAACTAGATGAGACAGCAAAGTAACCAGCCAACTTACATAAAATAAACCATCACTTAAGCCATTAAACTTGGGGTGGCTTCTTTTACAACAGTCAACACAACTGTGCTTTTGTCTGCCAAGAAATAGGGACATTTGGAGGAAAACACAACTTTATACTTTTATTTTGAATAGACACTATCTCTTTTAGTTAAAAAATCCACAACTATTAGCAGAGCACATATTTTGTGAAAGGCATTATGCTAACTAAGCACTTGGTGTATGTCATGTCATTTAGTCTTCAAAACTCTCAAGTACAACTGTCCTTACCTTTCTTATGTCACAAACCAATGACCACCAGAACTTGATTCAAACCTATCTGACTCTGGAGGATATTTTGGTCCTTTATCCTGTCTCCTCACATTAAAAGAAATTCTAAGAATTGGCCAGTCAAGTCATATTTTGCGGGATACAATTTTAACAGTTCAACTTAGTATATCACGTCACATCAAAATATAAATTAGGCCCGGAAATACAGCTCAGGGATAGAGTTAACATGCCTAACATGTGCAAGGGCCTGGGCTAATATAGCTACAAAAATATTTCCAGATTTGCATTAGAAAGTTTGACTGCAAACCAAGAATAATGTACTACTCAAAACTCAAAATGAAAACCAAAGATGGCACTATAAAGCCACCCTCTCTATATATATTCATTGTCCTAAACACAGACCATGACATGAGTGAAAACAGAACATGGACAGGGCTGAGGCGGAGGGTCTTCCCAGCCCTGGTCTGGACAGCAGCAGCAGCTCCGTTTGTTGCTACAGACTATCAGTGCATAAGAACTACATCCCTAAGAAATGGTTAGGCTTTTTTTTTTCTTTTCGAGACAGGGTTTCTGTGTAGCTTTGGAGCCTTTCCTGGAACTCACTCTGTAGCCCAGGCTGGCCTTGAACCCACAGAGATCCACCTACCTCTGCCTCCCAAGTGCTGGGATTAAAGGCGTGTGCCACCACCGCCAGACTAGGTTTTAAACTAAATCTACAGGGCTTCTTTTTCCCTTTCCGAAGTACTGGGGATTGAACTGGGGCTCCTGTGTGCTGGGCCCAAGTGCTCTAGCTCTGAGCTTTAGCCCCGGCCCTAATCCTTTTCTAAGGTGAGGTTTTGGCACACAAGAAGTACAGCTATTCTGACAATACCTTTGAAACAAATGTCAAAGAACATTTAAGCATGGAACAGCAACACCATGGCTTGACAGAACTCTGCTTACACGTGTGAAAATGGAGCTGCAATATCCTAAAGAGATATTTACCCTCAATGCAATTTAGAATGTCAAATATTTAGGGTGTGTACACTCGAAATGGGACACAAACTAGTCAAAATATACTTTAAAAATGTTTAAACCAAGATCAACATATCCAGTACAACTAATGGTTTAGCATACCCACATGTACTTTACAAAAGAAAAAAGGAGAGGGGAGAATTTGTCCATAATTAAAACTTTATTGAAAAACTGACACCAAAATAGGAGATCACTGTTGTATACTTTATAAAATCAAACACAGTTACATTGTCTTGGTAGAGTCACTGAACTTGATAAGGCTTTCTGTGAAAAACACAAACTCAGGAACTTGTACAGGTGATTAGTGTTGCTTTCTTCTAAATGAACAGCCTGTAAAGGAATCAAGAGAGTGCATTAAACACCTTACTCTATCTGTGGTGTGATTTTAGTGGCAAAGAGTACTTTAAAAAAAAAGTTTTAGAAATCTGATTAATTAGACATAGGAATGCTAGATTTCAGGTAGAAAACTTAAGTTTCTGAATATTATGATTAACAGAAATTTGCTATAATAAATGTTGCATGTGAGTTTATTCTGACATGATCACAATGGTGCCTTGTTTTCAAATACCATGAAATCTATTTAAGACCATAAACCTGACTCTATCAGTTCACACTGTTTTGAAGATCCTCTTACTCCCCTATTCAACAGTCTCCCTCCTACAAAGTTAACTTTGACTAGAGTTCCTCTCACATGCCAGAACTCTGCCACAGATGCACTTTGACGTCATCTGTTAACATATCCATACAACTTCCAAGATCAAGGCATGAGATAAGTTTCAGCAACCCTGCAAATGCATATTAACAACACTATTAGTCTTATGTGTCTTTTTGATTTTTTGAGACAGGTTATTATAGCTCTGGCTGTCCTGGAACTCACTCTGTAGACCAGGATGAACTCATAGAGATCTACCTACCTCTGCTCCCACCCCCCATACTGGGATTAAAGGTGTGTATCACCATACTCCACCTTTTTGTTGTTGTTTTTTGAGACAGGGTTTCTCTGTGTAGCTTTGGTGCCTTTCCTGGAACTCACTCTGTAGCCAAGGCTGGCCTCAACTCAGAGATCTGCCTGCTTCCGCCTTTGCACACTAGGATTAAAGGCGTGTGCCACCACCGCCCAGCCGCCCTACTCTTACACACCTTATGTTGACTTTGGACTCTGATCTCATCCAGTCACACCAAATAGATCTCCATCTGTAACTCTTCCAGTGAAAATGTGGAATTCAGTTCCCCAGAATATCACAAGCAAATTTCAAGTATTGTGGAGTTGTAAATTTGAATATATTATTATGAAAAGCTTTGCACACAATTATTTTTAACTTACTGCATTAAAGTGAAGAAAAAAGATTAGATTTTTAAATTAGGCATTAAATAGTTGTCCATTTGAGGTATTTGTTCCTTACTAAGCAATGACTTAAAATCCCTTTTATGTACCAAATATATAATAAACAAACTATTTTAAAATCTCATGATAAAAAAAAAAACACCCCTGTCCAACAGTGTAGGCAGTTACACCTGCTTCCACTCTGACTTGTTTTTAACTTACTCCAAGTTAAGCACAAGTATTCCAAAGTTAGAAAAACAGCTGCAGTGTCACAAGCTTAAACTCGGCTACTTGAGCAGGGGACTCTTTAAAGAGCCCACAAGAAAACATTTGAAGTCTTATTACTGGGATAGAAAACACCAAATGCTATCTATACCTTCTGTGAGCCTGGCTTTTCCTCCTGTGGGCTGGCACAACACTGTTGAACAACCTACGCAGAGAACCACTGTCTGAGCGTGGCTGAAAACTGTAGTAATCTTGTAGCAACCTAAAAGGAGGAGGGGGACAACACAAAGTTTGCAAAGTAGATGAAAACAGCACTGGCTCATCCCATTTCCTGTCACGATGTAAATACATGTTGCTTACATAATAAGTGATGTTTTTTACACACTTGCTGTAAACCTTGGTCCCTGCTACAACAGCAAGCCACACACCTAACAAAGTATTCTAGAAGCCACTTACGGTTTTTTTTTTTAAAGGTGACATTTTATTAAACTTAGTATTTATGAAACATTAACACTTCAGCATGTAATAGACATGTCTGTCATCTTTTTCATGTTATGTCTTCAGAGTTTAGTGTGTTACACTTAAAGACTGTCCCTAGTTTCACCGGTCACATTTTAAGCACTAAACAGCCACATATGGATAATGGCCAACATATCAGACAGCACAATTTGAGACTCAACATACTTTCATTGCACCGTTAAAAATGGAAAATGCATCACCTTAATGAACAGCTTAAAGACTTAAGTCAAACGTATCTCCCATATGTTTCGACTAGTACGTTTATTTAAAATGTCCCTTGTGACCATTCTGTAATCTCATTTCTATTCAACTGTGGATCCTGTCTTACTAAAGCTTCGATCTTTTCAGAAATTTCCTTTAGGACCAGAAAATTTGAAAATTTACCTGGACATTTCACATCCATGAAGTAAGAATTTGGGCTCTGAACCAGCCGTTTCTTCTTATGTTTTTTCTTTTCCTCTTCCAAGGAAGGGTGTAATAGATCTCTAGCCAGCTGAGTAAGGAAGCATATTGTTACTGCTGGAGTCAAAGCACATTGCTGGCGGATTTAACCGCACGACCACCGCAAAGCAGGAGCAACAGGCACACTCGGCAGGGGGAGCACTTGGATGTGACTTTTAAAAATGGGACCACTTCCACCCAAACTTTGCGTTCGCCGAGTCCTTGTCCTGGGACTTCACGGCGGTCGAGGCGCATATGGTAGACAACCCCCTTTCTTCTACGATCGGCTGGAAAGCCAGCAAAGCTAAGTAAGAACGAGCCTCTGGCCCAGGCCTCGCGGAGGAAGCGCCGCAGCCGATTAGCGCGAGGCCGGGATGATCTCAGCCCCGGGGCTCCATATCGGGTGGCCGGCACAGGCTATCGCGTGCCGTCCGGCCCGCCCGCCCGCCCGGGGTGCAATGAACGTGCCAGCAGCTCCGAGGACTGTTACGTTAGCAAGCAGAAAGCCGAAGCCCACCGCAGGCTGGGAGCTGCTCCCCACCCGCCGCCCACTCGGCCCAGGCAGGGCCACGCCACGCCACGCCACGCCGCCCGGGCAAGCCCGGACAAGCCCGCCGCGCCCCAGCCCGCACCACGAGCCGCGGCGATGGGCAGGAGGCGCCGCGGGCTCAGCCGCCGGCCGAGGCGCCGGATGGGCAGAAAGTCCGAAAGAAAGCGAGCCTGAGCCCCAAGGCAAACACTCACGGGCATGGTGACGGCTCCGCCAGCACCGGCGCTCCAGATCGCAGGGGAGAGGTGCTCGCTAGCGAGCGCTCAGCTACAACTTCCGGGATAGAGGCGGCCGGGCGGAGTGGAGGGGAGACGCGGGCGGGGCGGCCGCTCTAGGCTTCCGTCTCGGTAGTGCGGCTCCGGCCCTGCAAGCCGGTGGGAGTCTACTGAAGATCGAAAAGGCTCCTGCGCTGAGCTCCGACTCCGCCCTGCACGCGGGCAGGCCTGGGAAGCCTCGGGGCCACTGGGCTATTGGGCCTCGGACATTAGGCATTAGAGGGAAGCCAGACCTGAGGCTGCTGCCAGCCTGGCCTCTCCCTGTTCATTATGCGGGGCAGGGGGTGGGGGTGAGGGGACACACGGAACAATAATATCTGTTCTTCACTGTGTTAGAAATATGATGGGGGGGGGGGCGGGGCGGGGCTCAGCGCTTAAGAGTGTTTACTGCTCCGGCAGAGGACCTAGGTTTGGTGTTTTGTATACACGCCAGGCAACTCACAACGGCCTCAAACTCCAGCTCCAGGGGAATATGCAGGTCTTTTTTAGTCTCTGATGGCGCTGCATGCATATGTGCACACACAGAAGAAGAAGGAGGAGGAGGAGGAAGAAGAAAAGAAGAAAGAGATTCACACATAATTAAATGTTAAAATATGATATTGGTGTTGGGGATATAGCTCAGTTAATAGAGTGCTTGCCTTGCATGCACGATCCCCAACACCACTAAATAAATAAATGGTTCTTAACTGCTAAGATCCCACTGAAAGACTGTGGAACAGGCTCATAGTGTTGTGCACGCTCCTTCTAAGGAGTGGGCCTTGAGGTTCCGCACGGGATAGGCTTTACCTCAGGTTTGCTTTGCTCTGAAATAGTTTTTAAACAAAACCCATTTGCTGCTGTGTTTGGTGGCACCAGGAGGCCCCTGCCCTCTGAAGGTTACGCTGATTTCCCAGGGCCCACGGTGAGGAAGACAAGTTTGACTGATACTGTGAACCTGTGTGATCCAAAACTGGGAAACCTGCCAGAGAGCTGAGGAGATGGTTTGCTCTGTAAAAGGCTTGCCTCAGAGGAAGAGGAGGCACTCCCTGCTGCACAGAGGAGGCAGGTCCCTGGGGCTCAATGGCCAGCTAGTCTAGCCTTAAGAGTTCCAATCCAGTAAGAGTCCCTGTCTCAAAAAAACACGATAGATGGCACCTGAGAAAGAAACCTGAGGTGACCTCTGGCTTACACACACACACACACACACACACACGTGCGCGCACCAATTATAAGCTTCACTCTAAGAATGTCCTATTAACATCTCATATGTTTCATCTCTTTACTTCTTTTGGAAAAGAAGATACATGTATAATATTCAATTTGCATAAAACAGAAGAAAATTGAAATAAGCACAGGAGAGGCTGGCTACCTTAGTAGAGAGCTTTCGTAGTGGACAAGAATCCTTGGGTTCAACTTCCAGCACTGGATCAAACTAAGGAGTGATGGGGCACACTTCTAATCCAGCATTTAGTGGGATGCAGGCAGGAGAATCAGAAGTTCGAGATCATCCTCGGCTACATGAGACCCTCTCTAGAACAAATAAAATATGAATCAACACTAAATATTGTCATACAGATAATTATGTACATTATTATAGGTGTGTAGGCAAAATAATGGCCCTAAAGGTTTTAATGTCCTAATCCCCATGGCCTGTGATTACCAGACAAGTGTAGTTAAGGTTGGTGGCTGTGGTTTGAATGAGATGTCCTCTCCATAGTCTCTGGCATTTGGGCCCTTCATCCCCAGCTGGTGCTGCTGTTTGGGTAGGTTTAGGAGGCGTGGCCTCGTTGTAGGAAGTATGTCAACATCCATACCATGATGGTGTTGGGTTCTTATTGTTCTGGAACCACAAACCCAAATAAACCTTTCCTCTCTGTCTTAATTAGGGTTTCTATTGCTGTGAAGAGACACCATGACCACAACAACTCTTATAAAGGAAAAACACTTAATTGAGGTGGCTTACATTTTCAGAGGTTTACTCCATTATCATCATGGTTTGACATGATGGTGTGCAGGTAGACATGCTGCTAGAGAAGGAGCTAAGAATCCTAAATCTTGACCAACAGGCAACAGGAAGTGGTCTGAAACACTGGGTGTGGCTTGAGCAATATGAGACCTCAAAGCCCACCCTCACGGTGACACCCTTCCTCCAACAAGGCCATACCTACTCCAACAAAGCCACACCTCTTAATAATGCCACTCCCTATGAGCTTATGGGGGCTAATTACACTCAAACCACCACACTTCTATAAGTTGCCTTTGCCATGATGCTTCACCACAATAGAAAAGTAATTAATGCAGTGGCTTTGTGGTGGTGGTGATTGGCAGTGGTTGTTTTGATTTTGATTTTTGGAGATAAGGTCTTGCTCCATAGCCCCAGATAGGCTCAAACTCCTGATCCTATTGCCTTAGCCTCCAGAATGCTGGGATGATAGGTGTGTGCCAACACCACACCAGATATTGCTACTGACTTTGAAGATGGAGGAAGGGCACTCTGAGTCAAGGAATATGGCAAACTGTTGTAAAACAATCTTTGTACCCTGTAAATATGGGTAATACAGAGCTGGGCAGGAGAGATTGGGTTTGAGAGCCAGACTAGAATAATTCTGGGAGAAGAAGGGCAGAGTCAGAAGAGTCACCAGGAGATGCAGAGGGAGCAAGACATGCTGGAGGACAGGCAAAGCCATGAGTCACATGGCAGCACATAGATGAATAGAAATGGGTTAATTTAAGTTGTGAGAGCCAGTTAGTAATATACCTGAGCTATTGGTTGAGCATTTATAATTAATATTAAGTATCCATGTTGGTATTTGGGAAATGGTAGGTGGGCAAGAAAAGTCCACCTACAGGAGGACTTCACATACAGCAAACCAAGGCAGTGAACCTCCAGAAAGAAACAGCATTCCTAATTCCTCTGGGTCAAACTTTTAAAATACAGAATTGTATGATAATACATTTGGGTTTTTTTTGTTGTTGTTGTTTTTGTTTGTTTGTTTGAGACAAGGTTTCTCTGTGTAGTGTTGGTGCCTGTCGTGGACCTCACTCTGTAGCCCAAGCTGGCCTCGAACTCACAGAGATCCGCCTGGCTCTGCCTCCCGAGTGCTGGGATTAAAGGCGTGCGCCACCGCCACCTTTTGTATTGTTTTAAACCACTGTATTTATGGTGATGTCTTACAGAAATAATACAGCAATGAAGACCTAGGAACCAATCTTAGCTTTCACTATTTCCCTTCCCCACTCATAGTTTTCACAGCTAAACAGCATCTCATAGATAGTTTGCTGTGAAATAATCCTTTTGTATACTGTAAAGATTTGTTACTCGCATTGGTTTAATAAAAAGCTGAGAGGCCAGTAGCCAGGCAGGGAGGATATGTGGGACAACCAAACTAAGGGTGCTGGGATGAAGAAGGGTGGAGTCAGAGGAGATGCCAGCAGACACAGAGGAAGCAGGATGTGTAGAAAATGAGGTAACAAGCCATGAGCTACATGGCAGAAGGTAGATAAGAAACATGGGCTAATTTAAATGTAAGAGTTAGCTAGTAACAAGCCTGAGCTATCGATCAATCGAGCATTTGTAATTCATATTAAGTCTCCATGTTGGTTATTTGGAAACTGGCAGGCAAGAAAGAAATGTTTTGGTTATATCAGGACTTAAACCGTGGGATGTGTGAATGGCTCAGTGAGTAAAGGTGCTTGTCACCAAGCTGAGTTTGATCACAGTAGTGGATCGAGAGCCCTGCATTCCACAAGCTGTCCTCTGACCTCAATAAACATGCATGCAGTATTGGCACACATGATAAGTAATTAAATAAATAAAGTAAAAATGTTTTCAATTTTAGATTGTGAGGTGAGAGAAAGGATTGGGGTCTGCTAGGTGGTGGCAGCACACACCTTTAATCCCAGCAATCAGGAGGCAGAGGCAGGTGGATCTCTCTGTGAGTTCAAGGCCAGCCTGGTCTACAGAGAGAGCTCTCAGACAGCCAGGACTATACAGAGAAACTCTGTCTTGAACCCATCCCATCCCACCCCCCAAAAAATAGAGTTCTGTAAGAGGATAGAACTGAGAGAGAGGTGGGGGAAGAAGGAGAAGAGGAGGAGGAGAAAAGAGGAGAGTGAAGAGGAAAAGAGAAGGGAGGGGAAGAAGGGGAGGGAGACGATTTAGTGGTTGGGTAGTCCAGCAATGGCCGACTGCATGCTAGAGAAGCAGAGAACCCAGTGAGTTCCCACTTCAGGAAGCTGGATGCCTCAACACTCCCAATCTGGAAACCGAAAGTCTTGGAAGTTCCCTTCAGAGTCCCAGGTATTAAGTCTCACTTTCAAGGCTGAAGAATCTCGAGTCTGTCAGACAATGACGGCAGCATGGACATGCTCACTCAGAAGGAAAGTGGTTTAGAGCTACAGCCTGCCTCTGGCTTCCCTTTTTATACCAGCTAGGCCCCATTGGAAGGTACTATTAAGGGCAGAACAAGCACCCTATGTCCAGTCAGTATCCACATGGCAGTCCTCTGTGGAAATGCTCCCACAGACACAAAGATGCATGTCCTCAGGCCTTGCCCATCTTCATCTAGTCAGCTAACAATGTCATCCCTGCCCCTGGAGCCCCAGAGTTTGACAGGCTTGAGGCTCCTCCTGTTCTGTGCTTGAAATGTCCATGAGGATGTTACACAGTGGTAGGACCTAGCCATGTAGGTCTTTGCCACTCTGTAGACCAGCAGCATCCCATCACTCAGTAACCTTTTGGAAATAGTCTACAGCAATTTCCGAGATCTTCAGAGCCAGAATCTGAATTTTATCATTTTCCAGTGACGTGTGTAAACATCCCCTTCTAAGAAGCCCTGGCCTAGACTAACTGCGTTCTTTGCTCTGTGTGTGGCGCTGGGGGTGTAACTCAGGATGCTGTACATGCTAAGCACATGCTCTAAGAACTGCACCACCGGCCCCACACCAACACTTTCTGGAGACTTTTTACCTTTCTGTGCAAATGTCAGATTCTTGCTACTCCAGGGTCAAGAATATTTCTCTTGACTGGAGTAAGGAATCATCCATCTTCCCCTGCAAGGGGCATCTGCTTCTCATGTCAGTGAGTCAAGCCCTCCCCTAGCATAGGATACTCGCAG